AGGGAGGAGGACAAGCCCGGAAATCATTAAAGGGTGAGTGGAGCTAGAAGATGCTGAAAGGGCAGGGAGACACCCCTCCGAGCTGCAGGGAAGAGGAGGCATTTGAGCTGTGTCTGAAGGTTATGAGCCGCACATTTTTATCAACGTGTTATGACAAACAGTAACAATATCACATAGCAGGGGCCGCTTTATGGGGACCAGGCATTGGCTGGGTGCGTATCCCCAAAACGATCCAGCGCGTGTATATGGTGTATTCATTGTCTATGGATATTACCCCACTTCACAGATAAGAAAACCGAGGCTCAGAGAGGGGCTACGTAGCTTTGCTGAGGTCTTGCAGCTAAGAAGCTGAAGGGCCAAGATCTATCTGCACCCAGGCAGGCTCATTTCACAGCCCGGACATCAGCCCAGAAAAATCCCTTTCCTTATGTCAAATGGACTCATGCTAAATGTTGAGTAGAAACATTGCAGAACCTTCAGGATAGGCTCTTTTCATTGAGACTGTTTCAGTGTAATTATGTTTAAGTGTGTTGAAGAGCCACAGCTCAGTGCGTCCTTCCCGTCGGAAAGTGCGTGCGGAAGTCGGCGAGGACCGGCTGGCGGCCCTCTGCCCTTACATGCATCCGGGACGCTAAATAAGACCTTACGAGCTGCAGTAACACCCGCCAGTTATCTGTGCTGTGGTGTAAACAATGAAATTCTTATTATGTACTCAGAATCCACAAAGCCATTGCCATGGAAACTCTGTTTTCATGTCATATCTTTAATGAATAGGTAATGAAAGAAATGCTGCATTTACAACTTCATTACTAGTTTTTTAAAAAAGAAGAGTGCACATGCACACACACACACACACACACACACACACACACACACACACACCCCTCGCTGTAATTTTGAATTATGGTCATTGTCATGTTCCAGAACACGGTGACCAGCACAGAGAGATTGTCAAGGCTGTCATTTTGGATCGAATGAATGGAGGGAAGACAAAAAATATTGCTCAAACCCTACCCACCATGCCAACAAGGTAGGGTGCTGGTTTCACTCTTTGTCTCATTAGGATTTTAATTATTTTGGCTCGAAATAACTCCCCACCCTTAGAAACAAGCAAGCACGGTCAGGAGTGGAAGGGGGAATTTAAAACGAACTGCTTCTTACATTACATCATATATATGCTACATAAATGCCCCCTATATATATCGAAACATCACTACGTACCCCATGAATACATGTAATAATCATTTGTCAATTAAAAAATTTTTGTTTAAATCTAAGAAAAGGGAAAAACAGCAACAACAAAAGAATGAACTGCTTGTTCCTTAGGCACTCCTGGCTGACCTGCCTCGGGTTTGTTCTTTTTTGTTTTTGTTTTGAAAGGGTACGTTAAAAACAGATGGCTACCTCAAGACTTTCTGATCACAGAAGGTTGGCAAGATAGGAAACTGATTTGCTGTTGAAGGGCTGCTTTAATACAACATAAAAGATCGTCTAATCAAGCGTCTAATCGCTGAGGGGCATCAATTTTAGTGACATCAGTGCAAGCATCCTAAAAAGGGCTTTGACAAGAATTATTAACAAAGAACTACGTCAGCTGCCTCCTGGCTGCTTGATCAAACGCGTGCCAGGTCTGGGGGGACGGCAGGAGAGCCACAGGACAGTGGGGAAGCAGGAAGGGGCTTTGATGCTGTCCCAACACACACGTGCACATTCATGCATACTCACACGCACACACGTGTGTGCACCACCACCACCACCTTCTGGAACATTCCGCCGTGGACAGATGTGCTGTTGCCACTGCCCTCACCCCTCTCCACCCCATGCAGTTGATGGAATGTGCATGTGGGGTAAAAAAAAAAATCTCAGCTGCAGTTCAAGCTGCACAGAAACAAATGCGAAACCCTATTCTCCCTCTGTCAGTCCATGCTGTCTCCCCACCCTCGCTCCGGTCAAGCTCCTGGTTGCTTGGGAAACGTTATGTGTCTTCCTGTGCGGTTGTTTCTCATGGCGCCACCGAGAAGCAAAATCCAGGTTGCGGGGCAGCGGATCCTACTCACCAGCCCCAGCATTTGGGGGGTTTGTGATAGTCTCAGCAGTGCCCAGGCCCACCCAGGTCCATTCCTAGAGCAGGTGTGCTAAGAAATTCACAGGGAGGAAAGATCTCAGGGGAGACATGCAGATAACTTTCAGGTGCCCTTGGACAGAGGGGCCTGTCTGCCTGCAAAACATATCTGTTCATTGAAGCTCTTCCTCCAGGAGCTCTGGACAGGGGGTGTTTCCAGTGTAGCTCTAAGTACTTGAAAGTGATAAAGTTGCATTTCCTGAATCACACGCTATAGGTGAGCGGCATCCTGCTGTGGAGAAGTGCACAGGTCGGGCTTCCCTGCTAACTTGCTGTGTGGCCGGGAAACCCGCCTCTCTGGGTGTGGCTTCCTCGTCTACACACCCAGTGGCTAGGACAAGACGATCTCTGAGATTCCAGTTTCACGATTTTCTGTTTTTATTGAAACACAGCGGGAGCGCCCCCCACCCCGCCCCCAATCAGGCTGGTGCGCAGAGTCGCGTTGCAGAAGCAGCCGGACTCGAGTGGATGCTGCCGTTGGGTTGGACCTGACCTCCAGGCTCCTGGCTGGACTCAGGCCCCTTTGTTGTCTCTGTCCCAGTGTCCTTGGATGCCTCAAGGCTCATCTCTCCGGGGGGTGGCTTGTGGGCAGACGAAGCCTCCCTGGGGGAGGTCACCTGTGTCCTTGAGGTGCCCTTGATGCGAACCTGAGCGAGCTGCACGCCAGCACTTTACATCCGCCTGCGTCTCACATGCTCTGCAAATCAAGAGCCCGTTGCCGGATGTGGTGACAGACACGGAAACGTCACGGGGCGCTGACTGTGCGGGGAGGGGTGAAGGACACGGCAGTGGGCTCAGAGTCCCACCTGCTGGATCTGGGGTCAGCTGTGTGATCCTGGGCAGGTCACGCGAGCCTCGGTCTGCAGGTGAGAACACGAATGCCCCACCCGACCGTCTCGCTGGTGGGGCCGAGGACCGCCCAACATACGAGGTGAAGTTGATTTACAAACTATAACATGCAGTGCAAAAGTGGGAGCTTATTATTCTAGGAAACCAGAGCAGACACATCACCCCCCCCCCAGGAACTCGACAGTCTTCCCGGGCTCGGTGACGCAAGCCCCCGCCGTCCCCGGCGGCACACACCACACGCGAGATCAGGCGTGGCCGTGCCCTGCCACGCTCCTGCACACGTCCTCCTTACAGAGTGGCCTTGCCTTCTCTCGTGGCAGAAGCCACTCTCACTTCTCCTCGTTCCCACCACGGCAGCTTCCGCGCTGTTGGGGACAGAGGACTCCATAACACCGTGCACGCCTTGGCGTCCTTTAATAATGAGCAACCATAGAACCCACGCAATACACAAAGTGGTTTTTCCCTAAAGGACAAAAAGTCGTTTTGTCTAATTATTTTTATTTCTGGAACCCAATCCTAAGGACATAATCTAAAAATACATGAAACGTTTTATATGCCAAGATGTTCACTGCAGAGTTATTTTTAATAGGAAAATTTTAACTTAAATGTCCAAAATAGAAAAAAAAGGGTTAAATAAATTTTAGTGTCTTAACTATATAGGCTGTCTGTTCCTCCTGCTATTACAAAGCGCCATAAATTGGACAGTCTACAGGTAACAGAAATGCGCTTCTCACGGTTCTGGAGGCTGGAAGTCGGGGGTCAGGGTTCTGTGAGCTTGGCCAGGCTCCGGCGAGGGTCTTCGTGGGGGTTGCAGGCGGCTGACCTCTCACTGCGTTCTCTCGCGGTGGAAAGGGGGCGGGAGAGCTCTCGGGGCTCTCATTATATTAATATTAATAATAATACAATTATTATTAATCCCATTCTTGGGGACTTCATCTTCATGATCTAATCACCCCCTAAGGGTCTCACCTGATACCAGTATCATCACTTTGAGGGTTAGGATTTCAATGTATGGATTCTGGAGGGACCCCAGCCAGAAGGAAAATTGACCGTGCCTTCATCCTCATCCAACACCTGCCACACACCAGGCGCTCTTGCCGGTCTGGGAAAGAGAGTAGCTAGCGCACAAGGCGTGCGTGGTCCGAGCACCAGAGGAGCGCACGCCAGTGGGGGTGGGGTGGGGTGGAGACCGCCAACAAGCAAGCAAATAGGGACACAGGAGAAATGCCAGGTGGTGACGGAGCCACACAGAGGGCACGGGGAGAGAGAGGGGTCTTGGCCGTCAGGGGAAGCCTGTCTGTGGACTGATCCGCAAGCTGAGGTCTGAATTGCCGGACAGGGACATCTGTGAGAATTCCCGTGGGAAGGGGGTTCCGGGCAGGGCAAAGAGCTGGTGCAAATGTCCTGGGGTGGGGACAAGAGGGGCTCTCTTGAGGAGGAGACAGAGGGCAGTGCGGCTCAAGTCCAGGGGCCAGTGGGACAGGAATGAGAGGGGTCGGGCCGGAAAGCGGGTTCCGAGGTCCAACTGGAAGGAGAGTGGGCCGAGGAGGCTGGGGTGGGGACGGAGGGAGCCCAGAGACGGGGAACGGGGAGTGGCGGCAGGCTGGGGCGCTCAGCCGCGCACGGTGCAGCAAGGGGAGGAGCAGGTGAGAGTAGGGAAGACTGGTTGTGGCAACGTGAGGGCTCCAGGGGCACCGTGAGAAACAGGTAGCTCCTGACGCTCAGTCGGAAGCCCCCGGCGGACTGAGGACACAGAGACGGCGGCTGTAGCCAATTCTTTCAAGACGTCGTGCGGACAGGGGAGCAGGGAGAAGGGCTGCGAGCTAGAGGGGGCCTGGGGTACAGGGAGGCCTTTGTCCCGCAAGGTAAGAGCTGGGGTGGCCTTTTTATTAATAAGTTGCTGGGGGAGAAGAGGGAGACACAGGTGACTCAGGAGGAGGAGGAGGAGGAGCAAGGTTCTGAGAAGGCCAGAGAGGACGGAATCGGAGAACAATGGTGCCACGTTCCTTCCGCAGGGGCGGGTCCTCCCTCCACAGGCCACTCGGGGACACAGAAGGTGTGGGGCAGGAGCCCTGGGCTGGTGCCATTGGTTGTGGGATGATGAGGGTGTTCCTCAGATTGCTTCTGTTTTCCCACTGAAGTATGGGGACCAGGGGAGACAGGAGAGCTCAGGTGGGCACAGGTGCATGAGGTGAGAGGAGTTATGACGTAGGGGAGTATTGGGTGCCCGTTAAGATTCGTAGCTGGGGCCGGGCGCAGGCTCACGCCTGTAATCCTAGCAGCCTGGGAGGCTGAGGCGGGAGGATCTCTTGAGCTCAGGAGTTAGAGGAGTTTGAGACCAGCCTGAGCAAGAGCAGACAGATCCCGTCTCCACTAAAAATAGAAAAAATTAGCCAGGCGTGGTGGCACATCCCTGTAGCCCCAGCTACTCGGGAGGCTGAGGCAAGAGGATCACTGGAGCCCAGGAGTTGGAGGTTGCTGTGAGCTAGACTGATGCCACGCCCTCTAGCCTGGGCAACAGAGCAAGACTCTGTCTCAAAAAGAAAAAGAAAAATGATTTGTGGCTGGGAGTTTAAATTCTGCTTCCCCCAGCAAGAAGTGAGCTTCTCACTAGCATGTCAGCTGCTCAGGCGGGCACGGCAGTGGGTGAGGACCGTACAGGATGGCCACGCACCTGTACATACAAAGCCAAAACTGAAAAGGTGGTGGCGAGATATGCCAAAGTGCCCACGGCGGGTGTCTGAGGTGGCCAGACCGTGGGTGATACATTTTTCTCTCCTTTCCATTTCTTATATCTTCCAAATTTCCATATTGAGCTTTCATAATAGTGGAAAAATTAATTATAGCTTTTAAAAAGAACAAAATATGGAAGCTAAAGGCGAGGGTAGTCACAACTCTCTCTTTCTCTATCAGATATTTTTATCTGCCAAGGTTTCTCAGTGACACTCCGGCAAAATATTCAGATAAGCTGGAGAGTATTTCCAATTAGCTTTTTAAAAATAATCTTTTTATTTTGGATAATTTTTGAGATTAAAAGCAAAGTCACGAAGCCAGTCCAGAGAGTTTCCATACGCTATTCATCCAGGTTCCCCTATTGTCAACGTCCTACAGCGACACGTGACGTGAGTCGAAGTTAATAAACCATCACTGGCACGCTCCTATTAACCAAGTCACAGACGTTAATTGGATTTCGCCAGTTTTTCCACTAATACCTTTTTTCTTCCAGGATCCAATCTGATATATCACATTGCATTTAGCCAATTAGCTCTAAAAGAGTCCTTGGCCCATATGCAAGAATTGTTGATTTTATCTACCTCATAGGGTCATTGTGAGAATGAACTGAAATAATCTGTAGGGAAAAGCTTTATAAACTGTAAAGTGCTATACAATACTGGATGCCGGTGACGCTGGCGATGATGATGATGATGATGACGACGATGATGATGATACAATCTTGGCAGCTAGACCCATGGGCTGCACTGGAAGGAAAAACTGCTAATAGAAACTTGCATTTGTATGTCATCTTGAGCTTCTTTAAATTAAGCTTGAAAGTCTCATCTGCTAATGAAAAGCTGTCGTTTACTGAGGGTTTATGTGTCGGGCACTGTGTCAGGTGGGTATACCTGTGTTATTTTCTTGGTGCTGCTGTACCAAAATGTCCCGAGCTGGATGGCTTAAAACAACAGAAATGTGCTGTCCCACAGGTCTGGAAGCCAGAAGCACAAAACGAAGGTGTCAGCAGGGCTGGTTCCCATTTGGAGGCTCTGAGGGAGGACCGTCCATGCCTGTGTCTGGCTTCCGGGATTGCCAGTGACCCTTGGCATCCCGTGGATTGTGGAAGCTTCTCTCCAACCTGTGCCTCTGTGATCACTTGCTATTCCCTTTGTGTGTGTGTCTCTGTGTCCAAATCCCCACTTCTCATAAGCGCACGTAGACACACCCTAATCCAGTGTGACCTCCTCTTGACTTGATCACATCTGCGAAGACCCTACTTCCAAACAAGGCCACATGTGCAGGTTCTGAATGGACGTGAATTTGGGGGTGGCGGGGATACTATTCAACCCAGTATGGTGTTCCAATTTATTAATTTATTTACTGTGACTCATCAACCTGATGAGGCAGATACTTTTATTAATCCAATTTTGCAGACAGAAAACCCGAGGCTTGGAAAAGCAAATAGCTCGCCCAAAGCCCAGTAGCTTTCGGGGGCCGCTCTCAAACCCTGGCCTCTCGAACTCGATGTTCTTCGCCACTCTGCCAGCGTTTCTCAAACTGGGATTCAAGGACACATTCTCGGGACCCCTCCGAGTCTCCGTGACAATTTGACATTTTTGTTCTTTTATCCCAGCAATACTCTTCTGAAAGTCAGTGTCAGCGTGTTGGGGAAACTTGACGTGTGACAAAATATTGCGCTGTGACACCTGTCCCCGTCCCTGCGATGTGGCTGGAACCACAAGCAGAGAGCGGAGCAGCGCCTCCGCAAAGGACACATCTCAGGAGAAAGCGCGGGTGACGCGGGACACGCAGGAGCGGAAACCCGTGGGACTCCAGGGGCGTGGACGGGACGGCCAGCCTGAGAGCCGCTGCACGACGGGCCAGTCAGTTCTGGCACGACAGCATCCGTCACGTGAAATTCATGCTTTCAACTGGCCTTTTACAGGTTTTAAAGCTTTGTTTGTATTTAATCTTTAAATTGGCTTTGGTTTTTTTTATAGACGTATAAGCACTGTACACGGAAGGAAGTTATGCCTGATTTATAGTTTGCACGTATTTGAGTAAAAGTGCCATTAAAAGAATTAAGCTCACTATGTGTCAAGTCAGCTAGGCTATGGGGGAAAAAAAAAGTTAAAAATTTATTAAAAAAGGCCGGGCGCTGTGGCTCACGCCTGTAATCCTAGCTCTTGGGAGGCCGAGGCGGGCGGATTGCTCAAGGTCAGGAGTTCAAAACCAGCCTGAGCAAGAGTGAGACCCCGTCTCTACTATAAATAGAAAGAAATTAATTGGCCAACTGATATATATATAAAAAATTAGCCGGGCATGGTGGCGCATGCCTGTAGTCCCAGCTACTCGGGAGGCTGAGGCAGAAGGATCACTGGAGCCCAGGAGTTTGAGGTTGCTGTGAGCTAGGCTGACGCCACGGCACTCACTCTAGCCTGGACAACAAAGCGAGACTCTGTCTCAAAAAAAAAAAAAAAAAATTTATTAAAAAAAAAAAAAAGAATTAAGCTCAGCATGTCGTGAGGGTTTGTTCTGGTTGGAGAAAACCACCCCCAGCTCTTGTGCCTTCGGACCTTGCTCCTGCCCACAGCTGGCACCCCGCTGGAGGGGAGGACACCTAGTCTGGGAGAAGGCAAGTGACTTCCCAAGGGGTGTCACAGAAGTTCGTGGAAGGGCTCAGGAGACCCACCAATCGGTCAGGACTCCAGGCTGGAAGAAACAGAAAAAGCCATTCAAACTGGCGTAAAACTTAAAGGGACTTTATGGGTGTGTATGTGTGTGTGTGTGTATGTGTGTGTGTGTGTGTGTGTGTGTGTTACTAAACAGGTCAGGGGTTATACTCACTTTGGGTTGGTTCTGATCCGGGATCCAAATATGTGACCAGGACCTGGTTTATCTCTTCCTCTTACCCTCCTCCCATGGCCCACGGGGGACAACTCTCAGGTTAGCTCTTCCGCAAGCAGCTTCCCCAGCAGCGCCCAGGACTTTGTGCTTCTGTGCTCAAGTCCGGCCTGGAGGAGGCCCAGGAGTGTCCTGTCCGCTCCAGCTGGGCCGGTGGGTGTCGGGAGCAGCGGGGGCTGTCCCTGTGGCACAATATTCCCGAGGACAGGGACAGAGAACACCACGCAGTGTCGTGTGTCTGCAAAGAGGAGCAGCCTCTTCAGACGCTCTGTTCCGACTCCCTCCAGTGGATCAGAAATCCGCCGAGGTGATTTAGACGCCCCAAACATTCTTTTAAAAGTCGTGGCTTTCTAGATAAGGATCTAGCTCAAGCCCGTGTTGACGTTTTAACTAAAAACCACAGACAGGAAATGCAGGGAGTAAGTCAGTGAGGGTGCCGCCCGGGCGAGTCCCCTAACATGGCAGAGCCCCTCGGACAGGCGTCTGAGCGTTTGCGGCACGGAGGGTTGACATCCTCTTTGAAGATGAAGCTGCAAAGAAGAAATGTGTGGTGACGCCTTCTCAGAACCGCCTGACTCGCAACCGTGGAAATGGAAGGGTGCAATCCATGATGTGAACCGACACTTTCGCACAGGGATGTTTATCTATGTGTGTTCATAGCTCCAAACATTAGGGAACAATCTAACCACAGAAAGTAGAGAAATGGTTAAATTGTATCACTTTCACATGCTGGACTTTAATGTTGTTATTGAAAATCAAAGCCCTCTGCCTGCCGATCAGAGAGAGGCTCTGCCATTTTAAAAGAAAATCAATGCACTCACATGAACGGCACCCTCTCTGATTTGTTCCCCAGGGTTCCTTTTTATGGCTTTTAATTAAATTTGCAAAAATATTTAATAAATGACAAATACCCGTCGCTCAACGCTAAGCTTTAAAAAGCGGAGTTCAAAACTCTATATATTGCACCAGCCCAATGTTATGTTAAAAATGCAAAGAGAAGGTCGGGCGCGGTGGCTCATGCCTATAATCTCAGCACTCTGGGAGGCCGAGGCAGGAGGATGGCTTGAGCTCAGGAGTTCAAGACCAGCCTGAGCAAGAGCGAGACCCCATCTCTACTAAAAGAAGAATTAGCTGGCTGTGGTGGTGCATGCCTATAGTCCCAGCTACTTGGGAGGCTGAGGCAGGAGGATCACCTGAGCCCAGTAGTTTGAGGCCACAATGAGCTGTGATGATGCCACCGCACTCTATACAGGGTGACAGAGTGAGAGTCTGTCTCAATAAAAAAAAAAAAAGAAAAGAAAGAAAAAACCATGCCAGAACAGACTAGTGAAATGAAAATCATGCAAATCTTTTAAAATAAAAAAGAATGCAAAGAGAAAAGACTAGAAGGAAATTCAAATGGTAACCATAACAGTGATGTCTTCCCTGCTAGGTGGTGAGGTTGGTGGTGTGTTTTACTTTCTCTTTTATATATTTTTTTACTTTATAAACCTCTTGCAAATGAATGTGTATCACATTTATACTCAGAAAGCAATTTTAAAGATATTTAGAATAATAGGAAATATTCTTCGAGGCTATAGTACATATTGTCAGTAGATTAAAAGCCTGGGCAGTTATCTTGAGAGCTCTCACCGAGTTGCAGGAAAATAAGATCAGCCCTTCCCTGTAGGGAAATATCTTTCCTTCACGCTACCTCTCCCTAATGTCTCCAAACTCTTTCCTGCTTTCCTCCTTTCTCACCCAGCCTTCTGGAGTGTTCCACCTGCACCTGTTCCCTGGGCTCCACGCCACCCCTCAGCCCCACAACGCAGCCCACTGAAGGCCTCCTGGGATCTGAATCCAGCAGCCACGCTGACCCTGCCTGTCTCCGTCCCGGGGGGAACCATAGCAGGACACAGATGGCTGAAACGACAGGCATGTTCTCACAGCCCTGGAGGCTGGAAGTCCAAGATCAAGGTGCTGGCGGGGTTGGTCTCTGGTGGAGCCTCTCTTCCCGGCATGCAGACAGCCGCGTCCCTGCTGCGTCCTCACGCGACCTCCTCCGTGCGTGCACGCTCTTGGCATCTCTTCCTCTCCTCGTGAGAACACCAGTCCTACCGGGTTAGGGCCCACCCCTCAAACCCCCTTTAACCTTAGAGGCCCTATCTCCACATACAGTCACACTGGGGGTTGGGGCTGCGGCAATGGGTTTTGGCGGGGGGCACAATTCAGTCCCTAACACCCTCCTGCCCATGCGACAACTTGACGTCCACCAGTCCCCACGCAGCTGCCAGGCCCCGAGCTGCCCCATTCCGTGCCTGCCCCCCCGTGGTATTTGCTTTCCAGCTCACCCACTGCACCTGTTCAGCTCTCCTCTCAAATGTCCCGGGTCCCAGGCCTGCCTCTGTCCACCTGCTGTCTTATCCTGAGTGATGATCTCACCGGTCTCCGGGGACCCGTGTGCTGGTGGATCCCAAATCTCTGCCTCTCGCCCGCCACTCCCGTCCCCAGCTCAGCCCCCCACTCCTCATTGCTACGCCGCTCACTCTTAACCGTGGGTACTTCTGCCTCCCGGGGGGACGTTTGGCAGTGCCTGGAGATGCTTGTGGTTGTCACGACAGGGGTCGGGGGTGCTCCGGGTCATGCTGAACATCCCGCAGTGCACAGGACAGCCCCACAGCGAACAGTCATCCAGCCCCAAAAGCCAGCAGTGCAAAGGCTGAAGAGCCCTGGGCGTCTCCTGGCTGGCAGTGTCCCCGTCTCCTCTGCCTCCCAAGCAAGGCCTGCTCACGTTGTGCCCCTCACACTGGGGCATCTAAACAGGTCTGAGCCCTCTTCAGCCCCACGGGCATAGCTGGGGCTGCCTTTGGGTCTCCCTCCTGACCACATGGCGGTCACAGCCATCTGTCTGTGATGTGTCTCTCACCACCGAGCCCCTTCCACTCTAGACGCCTGGGGCTCAGGACACGGTGCTGCCCACAGCCTGCACACGGCCTGGGCTCCTGGAACGACGAGCCTCTGGTCACGCCCTGGACGGGCCAAGTGGTGTGTGACTCTGTGCCTCTGCGCACTCCATCTCCGGGCCCAGGTGCCCTCCTCTGCCCCCCTCTCACCCGACAAGGTCCAACTAATCTCGAAGGCCCAGTGAAGTCGCCGCTTCCTCAGTGGAGCCTTCCTCACCTGACCCGGACGGGCATTCTGTCCGTCTTCCTAACCGCCACAGCCCCACCTCTCCTCATCCTTTTTGATAGTTGCATAATATTTCATTATATGAATGTCCTGTTATGTTCTTGTAATGCTATAAACTTTTGCAATGTAAAATGTTTACAATTAGTACTAATAAGTTATTTTGAAGAAAATAAACCCCAATAAAAAGCTATGGTCCTAGACTATTGGCTAAGTCAAAAAAAGTGTTAATATGCATAATCATTTGCAGTAGCTGCCCTGCAATTGAAAATAAAGCCTTCTCCTCTCCCCTTTCCAAGCCCACGTGCTTCCTGTCGGAAGAAAGTTTACAAAAGCTCCGAATAAGAAATTCTCTTCCTAAGAAAGCCTGTTGAAGAGGAGGTGGGCCTGGTGCATTCTGGTCCCTCCTCTCTCTCCCACCTACCCACCCTCCCGCTCCCTCTTTCTCAGCCCAGGGAAACTAAGCATGATCCTGCCTTCAATGCACCACAGAGCAGGTCATTTCAACACAGTTGAGAAGACTCAGTGGGTGGCCTTCTGAATTGTTTGGGAATTTTTGAGCTCTGAGTCCCTGACATGGACAAACGCACAAATAAACGATCACCCAAGCGAGAAGTGCTCAGAGTCGCTTGCCTTCAGGTATATTTGTTTATAAACAATTAGATTCAATAGAACTACAGAAAGATATTTTCATCCTAGTCTATTGATTGCAACAATGAAGTCTGGTGGGATAGAGGAGTCCTTGCTCCATATAGCAATACAAAATCCCAGTGTACCATAGCACTGTGTTTGCAGGATTCCTGGAATTTGCATTGTTTATGATAAGAATATACAGCTCTCGGTTCGCTTGTGAAGCTGACTGACCAGCGGCCATGAGAAAAACAGTTACATACAGAATTTCAAGGCTGAATTTCTTTTGTGGAAGGTGTGTGTGGTTGTTTTTGAATATCAGAGACCAAAATCAACAGATTAACTTACATAGCATACATTACATGGCACACACAGCCCAGATGGAATATATCCAAGGAATTTGGATTATGTGTTCAAACCTAAAGGATCTTTCAGGCCAATCTCTTTGTCTCACTTCAGTATGCTTTTTAATCTATCTGGGTAATTTATATACCATGCATTTTGCCTATGAGCAGTCTGAAAACAAAGTTCCAACAAGTAAGGATCCTTCAGTCCCTGTGTAGGGTCAGGCTGTCTCTAAGATGTCAGGTAATAACATGAGATCTTCCCTGATCCTGGGGGCATACATGTTAATTTAGAGTGTATCTAGGGCTTACTTAGAGCTGGAAAGGTGTCAGAGGACCATGGCCTACTGGCTCAGGGTGGCAGACACAGAGACCAGAGCAGCAGGACATCTCAGGGGGAAGTTTAGAAGTGAAAGACCCAGAGAAGGGCTGAGTTCTAGACTCCGCCAAAGTCCCTAGATGATGACTAAAGTCTGTGTGTGTGTAGGGACCTCAAAAAGCCAAGCCAAAAAGCAGCAGCCCTAGGGGTCAGGGCCTACCTTGAAAGACAGACTTGTTCTGATAACGTTTGCTGTGTCTTTGAATGAGTGTCCCAGGCCCACTCAGAGCTTGGGCAGCAGTAAGCAGAAGCCTTACTGGTTTGGACTAATCAGGACCTATCATCAGCAACTCAGTGAGTGTGGCAGCTTAGATGCAAATATAAGTTTCTTGAAAAACACATATCGTTAAAATGAACTCAATAAGAAATAAAAACATGAATGGTACTATAGTAAGTTTAGAAGTTGAATTCTCAATTGAAATCCTTCCTGCAAAGAAAATTCTAGACATATATGACTTCACTGGCGACTTGTATCAAGTATTTGAGGAAAAAAATAATATCAATTCTGTACAAAATCTTTCAGAAAATAGAAGAAGAGAGAACACTCTCCATTTATTTTATGAGCCCAGTATTACCCTGATATCAATGCCAAATAAAGACATCAAAAGAGAAAAGAGAATGTATGGACCAATATCATGAATGAATCCAGAAGCAAAAATCCTTAATAAAGTATATAGTCTACTTTTGAACAACACGGGTTTGAACCGCACAGATCCACTTCCATGTGGATTTTCTTTTGCCTCAACCACCCTGGAGTCAGCAAGACCAACCCCTCCTCTCCTTCCTCCTCCTCAGCCTACTCAGCATGTGAGGATGATGAGAATGAAGATCTCTATGGTGACCTACTTCCACTTAATGACTAGTAAATATATTTTCTCTTCCTTAAGATGCTCTTAATAACATTTTCCTTTCTCTAGTTTACTTTATTGTTAGAACACAGTATATAAGACATAGAACATACAAAATATGTGTTAATAAACTGCTTAAGCTATTGGTAAGGCTTCTGATCAACAACAGTAGGTCACTAGCTAAATTTGGGGGGAGTCAAAATTTATACGTGCATTTTTGGCCACTTGGGGTGTTGGTGCCCCTAACTCCCGTGTTGTTCGAGTGTTATCTGTATTATAAAAATCAAATCCAGTATAAAAAAGTGCACATACTAGGAATGCAAGGTTGGTTTATTGTTAGAAAATTAATCACCAAAAGTTATAATGTTAATAGAATGAGGAGAAGACCATACGATCATCTCAATGGAAGCAGAAAAAGCATTTGATAAAATTAAACATCTGTTCCTGAAAACTCTCTGCAAACCAGGAATAGAATGAAACCTCCTTAAGCTGGTAAGGGGGATTTATGAAAAACCTGCAGCTAACATCCTATTTGATGAAATAGTGGGCACTTTCCTCACTAGTATCACGAGTAGATCAAGGATGTCCACTTGCTTGACTTCTATTCAACATTGTACAGAAAATCCTAAAAATTGCAATGAGGTATCCAAAAAAGGCATACAGATTAGAAAGAAAGAAGTAAAACCGTTTTCATTCTCAGAAGACATGACTGTGTACATAGAAAATCCTAAGGAATCTTTGTGAAGGTACTAGAACTAATTAGTGATTTTAGCAAGATCCCCAAATACAAAGTCAGTATACAAGAGTCAATGGCATTGTTATCCACTAGCAATGAACAATTGGAAAATGAAATTTTAAAATACCATTTATAGAGGCATCAAAAATATCAAGTATTAATTTAACAAAATATGTAAAAGACGTGTATACCATAAAATATTGGTAAGATAAATTTTAAAATATAAAGAAAAGAACAGATACAATATGCACAGGGATTGAAAGATTCAATATTGTGAAGTTGTCAGTTTTCCCCAAATTGATCTATAGAGTAATGTAATTCTGATCAAACCCTTAGCAATCCTTTTTCATGGAAATTGACAGGCTGATTCTAGAATTTATATGAAAGTTCAAAGGACCTAGACTAACCAAAATAGTTTTTTAAATAAGCACAATGTTGGAGGACTTACATTACTTGATTCGAGGGTTACTAAAGAGTCACAGTAATCAAGATAGAATGGTACTGGCATCAGGATAGACATATACACTAAGACTCTTATTTATATGATTGATTTTCCATAAAGGAGCCAAGGTAATTCAATATGAAATTTTAGTCTTTTCAATAATTGGTCCTGGAACATTTGGATCGTCATATAGAAAAAAATGAAGTTCAATCTTTACCTCCCACCTTACATAAAAGTTAATTTAACATGGATCATATACCTAACAGTATGAGCTTAAAACTATAACACTTTTGTAAGTCAACAACAGAGAAAGCCTTTGTGACTTTCAGCTAAAAGAGATTTCTTAGAACACAAAAAAAATAAAAAAAACTTTTGCTCTTCAACAGACAAAGTTATGAAAATTAACAGGTGAGCCATGGTCTGGGAGAATATATATGTAAAACATACATCTAACAAAGGACTGGTGTCCAAAATATATAAAGAACCCTTACAACCAAATAAGTTGAAAATAAGAAAACAACCCGATTAAAATAAAAGAGCAAAAGATTTGTACAGACATGTCACAAAAGGAGATCTACAAATGGCCAATAATCAAATGAAAAGATGCTCAGTGAAACAAATTAAAACACAGTGAGATACCATAAACATTTCAATGTCAAAACAGCAGCAGCAGCAAACGGATGACATTAAGTAGTGTTGGGTAAGACATGGAGCAAGGAGAACTTTAACAAACTGCTGATGAAAATGCAACATGGTGCAGCCACTGGGGAAAACACTCTGGCAGTTTTATGGAGTTTAAACATATCCTTGCCACATGACGCTACCAATACCATTTCTAGGTATACTCTTCTACCCAAGAGAAATGAAATACGTCTGCACAAAGACTTGTGCATGACTGTCCACAGCAGCATTATTCACAACAGCTCCAAACTAAGAATGACCCAAATGTCATTATTTATTGAATAGAATATTACTCAGCGATGAAAAAGAACAAACTACGGATATACAAAACAACACGTATAAATCTCAAAAATATATTAAATGAAAGCATCCAGGCACAGAAGACTGTGTGCTGCACGATTCCGTTTATGAAATTCAAAAAAGGAAAACTATAGCAACAAAAAGTAGGTTGCCAGAGGCCAGGGTCAGGGGGAGGGGTCAGAGCATGCAGGAGGGTTCAGAGTGATGAAATGTCCCATGTGATGAAATCTCCACAACTGCGGCGGAGATTACGTGACTGTGTACATGTGCCAAAACTCATGGAACTTAACACGGGTGGATTTTATTGTATGCAAGGTATACCTCAATTGTGTACCCAGAAAGCAAGAATAGTCACTTGACAAACAGGGACTCAAGCAGCACCTTATACGTACCTGGAAAGGGATAGGTCGATTCTGGCTTAAGATCAAGAGACCTGAGTCAGCATCTGTTAATCCCACCATGACTTTGAGATGTCAGAGGGGTTTTTCCCAAGGGGCTCTCATAATCACGTGTAGCAATGGTGGTTACTCTTTCCTTCCTCCCACCAAGAGCTGCAGCCTTATCAACCTCGGCTTGGAATGTGTTGTACACCTGCGTCTTTTCCCTCTTGTCTAGCATGACCGCTTCAGGCAGGAGCCGCCCAATGAGACTACTTTATGTTAGCAGCCTACGGAGGGGCACGGGAACTCCCCATGGGACAGAGTCCCCAGCCGTCCACCACCGTTGTCTACAGATTCCTCTGTGTCCAACCCAAACCCCCCATACTTCCCCCTTCTCGCCCTCCCTTCCTTGACTCCCCTGCAAGTCAGCGAAGCAAAGCTCATAACCATCTTCCGTACACGAACCTTTCACGCCAGTAAATCATTCTCCATTCTTGCACACTGAGATACAGACTCCTCGTATTTGTCTTCGGTATTTCTCTATATTTCTCCCCAGAGAACGGCTCCCGGGGCTTCTGAACGAGAGTGCGCTGCGGGAAAAGGCGTCGTTTGCCAGAAGCGTAGGACCTGGTGTGCCAGGAAGTGGGAAATAAGTTCAACTTTTGTTTCTGCTATGTAGTCACCATATAACCTGGGGGCAAGTGGCCTCCCTGAGCCTCGGTCTCTTCATCTGATTCCTGGGTTTCACGATATCTACGAGAGGTGCTGACTACGAGCAGATGCCCACTCACTCACCTCCTCCACTCTCGCTCCCCAAGCCAGAAATCTGCGGACTCCCCTCATCCCTTGGCAAGTGCCCCTCGGAGAGTGCCATGCCTGAATTCTTCCTAGATGGGTGATTAAAGTATTGCTTAGACACTGTATTTTTGAAAATTAATGAAGCAAGATAATAATACCTAGTATTGATATAGTCTTTGGTCTGTTATCTTAATTATGCCTTATGAAGCTACTATAAAACTATTAAGTAGATTACTGCAAATTAATTAATATTTATTATACTCCTGGAAGCAAAGTAGAGCCTCTATAAATCAAGTACAGTGAACTAAAGAAAACTCTTCCTGAATTTGCAGGATCCAGCGTCACTGAGGCTGTTGGCGTGCAGCTAAGTCAACCCTCGGTTTGGGCCAATCCTGCTGGCATCAGCAGGGACCCTCTCGTGCGAGGCAGGAGGGAAGGATGGGAAGAAAGAGCTGAGAATCCACCGAGGACGAGCTGCCCACTGAAAAGGGCAGTGTTGCAACCATGCCTACAGGATGACAGGAACTGTCCTTTCCCCTTTCATTTCCTTACTTTTCTTTCAGTCCTGTCACTGGCTTCCTACTTTGCTGTCCTGTCCTTTCAGGGGAAGGAAAAGGAGGGGTGGCCTGCCAGGGAGGGAGTGGATGATGGGACAGTGCCGGCTAAAAGCATCTGTCCACGTATCGGACGTTCATGTCCTGTAGCCACGTCCCACTTACCTGTCCCTGCCGGGTACTAGGTGGCCCCGTGGTGTCCGTAATTGGGTGACTCAATAATAAACAAGTAATGATATTTGCTGTCTGCACATACTTTAATTTATGTGGTCTTATAGATGCCTTCAACAAAGCATGAATATGCTTTACACACAGCCTCTTTCTCACTTATTTTTGCAGATTTTCTATTTGAGTTCGTTTCAGAATGGGTTTACGTGTAATTGCCTAATGCATATCTTGACCAATGCAGGGAGGGACGGGTTGGTTACTTTATATCTAAAAGCCTACCCTGGGCCAAGAATAGGCATGTGTGTGTGCATATGTGTGTGTGTGTACTCACATGCACACATAAGTCATGCATAAATATTTACATAGTACCATATGTACAAACCATATTTCTAAGGTTTGTTTAGAGGTTGAGACGTAACTACAGTGAGATAGAGGAGGAGGAACGTGACATTCTGCGGAACAGCCCGGAGAACACATCCTAACTCTAACGCTGACGAGCTGTGTCGTGTCCAGAAATTATTGTGGGCACTCACTGCCTCAGTTTCCCCATCTTCAAAATGAGAACAATAACAACAACAGCAACAATAATTCCACCCCTCTCTCCAATCTTACACCTTATTGTATTTTCCGCGCATACAAACCATACATTCGGAAGTGCTTTGTAAACTGTGAAATTCTGCCCAATGCCAGCTATTGCTTCTAGAGTTCCTGGTAACTTGAATATCCAGACTCTCACACTGGAATTGAATTTGATACAATCTGAATTAAAAAATTCTCTAATGATTTTAGAAGACATAAATTCATGCTTTTCTACAATGAGTTACCACTTCACACCCATTGGATGGCTATTATTAAAACAAACAAAACAAGTAAACAACAAAAAAAAAACAGAAAACAAAGAGTGCTGGTGAGGATGTGGAGAAATTAGAGCCCCTGTGCATTGCTGGTGGGAACATAGGAACGTAGTGTAGCCGCAGAGCAGAATAGACGTTACCAGGGACGGGGGAAGGCGGGTGTGCAGTCACCTTTTAATGGGTACAGAGTTTCAGTTCGGGGTGATGAAAAGTTCTGGAGACAGGTAATGATGCTGGTGGCGTAGCAATATGAATGTACTGAGTACCGCTGAGCGGTATGCCTAAAAATGGTTACAATGGAATATTTTATGTTTTGAATCTTTTACCAGAATAAAAAATTTTTTTTCCATGCTATTCTTTCTGTCTTAGCTACTTTGATTTAACCTTCGCTCTTTTAAATATCAATCTCAAAGTCTCCCAGCTCAAAAGGCCCAGCAGCAAACTGGTTGACAGGCTCCAGGTCCTAACCTCATGTCCCCACTTCCTGGGGTGTGACCTTGGTCGCCATCCTCATCCCTCCGCTAAGTGTGAGCCGCTCAGCTGTAGTAGCTCTTATTTCAAAGCAAAATCATGAATTCAAGTTTTCTTCCATGTACATCTTGTGCCATAACATTATTTTATAACATTATTTTATATCTTTTTAAAGGGGGCCATTCTCACGTTTGGTTTGGTTGGGGTGGTGGCAGCTTTTATGTCTTGCTGTCCACCTCGTTTTTCTAGGCACGGTCACATCTGGATTGCGAGCTTGTTCTCCCCTTTCGCGTGTGTTGTCTCTTGGCGTCTGAGTCAATGTATGTGCATCAGTTAAAACACAACCCTTCTCCCGAGCCACATTTTCTGACAGTCCTCGGATCTGTCCGATTCCCTGGCCGACCATGTCTCGTTGCGTTGCCTTTCTCTCCTCTCCTACCGGGAAGCTCTGTCTTCCCTAATGCGGACTGTCTCCCACAACAGATCCCTATTCGCCCTGGGTAATGGAATCTTTTCTCACTTCTTGGTACTTTTTTCTCCAATTCTGCCCCTGCCCTGGGACTAAACGCTGTTCCAGCACTGTTCTGTCGGGTGAACACACGGCGACTAGCGGTGCCCAGGCTCGGCCACTTTCCTCTCCTTCGCGTCTCTGCCTCATCCCCGCCTCTTCTCACATTCATTTTCCTTTCCCTGTGTTGGTGCTGACCCTTCACATAATGCTTCTAAATAGGAAACATATGCATGTTTTCTATGTTCTTCTTTTCCCAATGAACACTGTAGCATGGAAAGCATCTGATGCCGAAGAAAACCGCTTTATGTCCTGACAGTTCTTCTCCATTGCTGAGCTGAATTCACTGTCTTTTCATTAACTTGGCTTTTTTTTTTTTTTTTTTTTTTTTGAGACAGGGTCTCACTCTGTCACCTGGGCTAGAGTACAGTAGCGTCATTGTAGCTCACTGCAAATTCGAACTCCTGGGCTCAAGCAATCCTTCTGCCTCAGCCTCCCAAGTAGCTGGGACCACAGGCATGTGCCTCCACACCTAGCTAATTTTTCTATTTTTTGTTGAGAGAGGATCTTGTTCTTGCTCTGGCTGGTCTCGAACTGCTGGCCTCAAGCAATCCTCCCACCTCTGCCTCCCAAAGTGCTGAGATTACAGATATGAGCCACCTCGCCTGACCTAACTCTGTGTTTTCTAAGATGTGTTTGGGGAAGTAGCCACTGAAGTCAAACAGAAATCTATCATGGTTCTAAAAACCACTCTGGAGCTACAGTTGAACACATGATTTTCACAATAACTGTGTTTTATTAAGAAATAGAGAATGGAATGTATTAAGACAAAACATTCTTTAAAAAATATAAAACCAGTTATAAAACAAAAGAAAAACCAGACTTACCACAGGCCACATCTTCTACTTGCTGCCCAAGGTGGGAATGGGCCTGGAGGGGCCCACAGGGGAAGAGCGACCACAAGAGGCGCAGAATGACAACAGTCTCCACAAACACTTCTCTTTTCCCTTAAAAACTTTCCCTGTTTCTAGGGAAATTTTCTATAGCAGAAGGAACGGTTTTGAAATACCTCAAAATCAGTTTAGAAGGTGGGACTGAAGAGAGACATAGCATTGATACCTCGAATGGGTACTTAGGAAAGTACATGTTATTTGAGGCCCTTACTGAGGTATCCAAGCTTGAATGTTCCTGTTGATGGACATTAGAAAATCCCCTGGCTTTAATTAAGTGTTCTCCCTTTATTCCTTGGCACTCCCCATAGACTAATGATGTGCATACTTGACACAAAGTCCCATAAAATATTATGCTTTAGTAACTTCCTAGTTAAAATTTTATTTCATTTTCTTTACTGGGGCCAAGGTACAGTTTTACCCCTTGATTATGAAAAGTCTATATTTTACAAATAAAATCCGGGGCAATTTTGAACAGAATAAACCCACAATTGTGGCATATTTATAAATGTATCAGATTCGCAGGCTTTTTCTTATTTTCGGATGGTCAGTTCTTACACAGAATCTTTTTCCCTCCTGGGCTCAAGCGATCCTCCTGCCTCAGCCTCCCGAGTAGCTGGGACTACAGGCATGCGCCACCATGCCTGGCTAATGTTTTCTATATATTTTTAGTTGTCCAACTAATTTATTTCTATTTTTAGTAGAGATAAGGTCTCGCTCTTGCTCAGGCTGGTTTCTAACTCCTGACCTTGAGCGATCCTCCGGCCTCGGCCTCCCATAGTGCTAGGATTACAGGCGTGAGCCACCGCGCCCGGCCTAACTTGGCATTTCATCACATCAGATGTCTTGTTCCGTGAGATGATTTCAACCTCCGCCTTGCCCTCTTCTTGGCTGTGGTGTCCAGCCGCCTTCATGGGGCCGTGGGCTTGACTGTGGTGGTCTGCGGCTCTCCGGGCAGGCAGGCAGCTCAGCCTGGCAGT